AGGTTAAGTAATCTGTTGTTACTGCGTTAGAAGAGTTTAAATTTGGCAAATTTTCAAGATGGCGGAATCTACGTTTTTCAGGGCTTTTCGTAAAATATCAATATCTCAGCAACGATACAACTTTTTGCTTTGCGCCTTTTACCAAAATTCCTTAAAATGTTTGGTCTACAAAAGCCCCCTACTTTGGAAAAGTTTCGAGAATATCGATTGAAGAATGTCGGTCGTGGCTTACGTGCAATGGCTCTTAAGCTTTTGATTTCTTCGCGTGGGCATGAAAACATTTTATCTATATATTCATATAGCCCTGACTAACGTCAAGGGAATAAGTAAAACATCAACGCTTTAGACTAACAACCTGTCGAGCAAGATCAAAACATCATTACTGACCACGACCGACACAAAAACGCTCTATTCGACTTTCATCACATTCAGCAGAGGGAAAACGAGTATTTTTGATATTGGCGATTCCTTTCCAGTCAAGGGATAAGTGAATCAGCATGATGAACGCTACTTGTAAATATATAATGTTGAGTGTGTGAAACTGATAGTGACGAAATGGGTAGATGGTACTATAATCAATGTAAATGTGAGTGATTTGCTAGAGGGAGATACATTCAATGTACACTTTCACGAATATTCTAGAAGTTAAATGAATTTTCTTTTTAAAAGTGATCTCGTGCAGTTCTGTATGGCGCCTGCTAGTACTACTATTCATTTCAATATAAAAAATGCATAAGCATGGAACCAGGAGTGATGTCAATCCAAAGACTGCAATACAGAACTATGCAGACTATGAGAACTATGCACCACATACCAATAATATATAATATTCAGAACTGCTCATAGTATGTATTGAGAACAATGAGAACTATTGAGAACTATTCATAGTATGTACTGAGAATTATGAGAACTATTCCGTGCTTTTCGCTGCAGTCAGATGAATATGAGATGTTCATTTGGAGTTCACTCTCAGTTGGCTGCCTCCCCTCTTCCTCGTTGTTGTTAAACGATTCTCCGTTCAGTTCTGTGGAAAACCTGAGAATAGTTCTCATAGTTCTCAATACATACTATGAATAGTTCTGAATAGTTTTCTTGATATTGGTATGTGGTGGATAGTTCTCATAGTCTGGATAGTTCTGTATTGCAGTCTTTGAATTGAGATCTATGGGAACCAGATTAGTATATATGTGTAGTAGTATTTCTTAAAAGCCATGAACATTTCAACGAAAACGTTTTCAAAAGAGACACTCATGCAAATGACTCATGTCGGTCTGATATGATGTAGCTATTAAAGTTAGCTAGCAAAAAACATCGAGCAGTTTATCAATAGGAATTAATAGTTGAATTATTCAAAAATAGTTCAAAACTAGTTTTTCTGAAAAACATTTGTTGAAAAATATATCCTGAGTTTCAGTTTTTGTCAAACTTTACTTTAGGAAAGATTCAAGATTTTCCTATAGAAAATGAGTAGAGTACACGTGCAGCCGACGCATCAGCCAATGCCCTATTATCAATCAGCTCCGCTTCAACAGAGAGGATATCCGGAGCCGCCTCAATACAATCATCCTCAATCACAATGGATGTCGATACCTCGTTCAATGCAGCCCGGTGTGCCAGCTGGACTAAACTATTTGACGGAATTAGACTGGTTAGCATTTATTCAAGACTTTAGTTTATCAGAAAGTATGTATTACAGACTGTTTCCAATGATTACATGGAAACGGATAAAATTATCTTTTGTAAACTGCGAAAGGCCACTTTGCGAATCGTGTGGACGGACAGCATAAAAGTGCAAACTTATTGTTGATCTTTTATGTTCCAGACAATGGAGTGAGTCATTTCATTGCGACTTTCAGATCATGTGAAATTTGAGCAGATTGTGCTGAGGAGATCGAAAGCACTTTGAGGCAGAAATAGAAAATGAAGCCAATGTATCCCATAGCTTCTAGACACTTTTGTCCGCTGATCTGTTGCTTGATTTAGTTATAGTAGGTGGTGAATATTTAGTGTAAATTTAGATCTACAAACTTTCTTCGATCAAATCGTTCACTTTTTTATACGACCTGTCAAAACTAGACAGAGACGTGCGTGCACTATTTGTACAAGAAGAGAAGCCACTCTAAAGTGGGAAGTAGACCTAATTAGTCTTCTGCAGAAGATCGATAGTCAAAGCTGTCATATGAACTTTTTGATTCTTTGACAATTTCAAGATCGATGCAATCAGTGTGCGACTTTACTGTAAACGTTTTATAAGTTTTTCATTTTTCGATATCTTAAAATGAGAATAAGTTTTCATTTATATAAAGTTTATGGACTAAGCGACTTATACTATTAAATTAAACAACGTAACAGTTGTACAAGGAAAATGAAATGAAAATAAAAGTCTGGAATACAAGTTTTATCTATATTATGCATAATATCTAAAGTTTTTGTCGAACATCAAGAGTATTACTTGATTAGAATCTGGCCTCACTTCTCTTTTCCACAATTCTGTACTAATACCACAAGAGATGTGAACTCTACAGTATAGTAAAACGTAGCAATAAATTCATCAAGAATGTTTTCATAGATTCGTTGAAGAGAAAGATGCCGTGAAGATCTTCAGCAGATTTCAACTTTCTATAGGACACGAGTGTGTCAGCTTCAAATAGCTTAAAGTTTAATCAGAAAAACGCTTTAAGACTCATGTTTCAGCTTTGTTATAAGTGGATTTATATCTGCATCTGCTCTTTGCCATGAGAAACTTCTTACGTAATTTACTGTTCGTTTTTCATCTCTAAACAGTGCACATTCTCCTTAGTCAAATGCTGTGATGCTTCTGAAATAGTTAACCATTTTCTGTTCGAAGGTAATTATCATTACGTTGGTCGATAGAAAACGTTTTAAATATACTATTCGCTTCTCAAGGCCAAATGTAAACTAAAGCTATTTGACAAGAATGATATTCACTGATGTGAAAACCTTTTCTCCATCTGTAGAAGACTCTCATCGTGTTATGCGAAACTACTGAAGAGGGAGACATTCATTGTATTTTTGTCTCCGTAACAAATTTTGCTGTCATTTCTTATTTAACGTCCATAGGTGTTCGAAACCGAAATCGGAGTCGAACAGATATATGCCGGTATGGGTATACCGAATACCGAAAATGCTGACTTTTTTCAGTTGAAATGAGATAGTGTAGCGTCCTGGACACCTAAAATAATCAGAGACACAAGACAAGAGCTTTGCTTGTCTTCTAAGCCCAAAGTTTTATTTAATTTTCTATCTACACATGGCCAGAATACACAGCTCAGCGTTTTTGTGTTCTGGTTACCCATGACGACAAACTGTCTCATTTGAAATGAAAAAAATCGAAAAGATTCAGTATTTGCAATGTTGATATGGATATCAGTGCACACCTAGAAACGAATAGTCATGCTTCGTCCATTTAAGAGTACGGGTGGTACTTTCCCGTTATCGTTACTTTAACGGGTAACGGCTTTCTGTTACCAAGAAGAGTTATCTGAGAAATCAAAACTCGAAAAAATGACAATTTTTCGCTAGACGTTTTTGTTCAGCAGAATCTCGAACACTGCAGTTCGTTTACCAAGCGTCTCAAAAATTTGACTGACACATCATTTTACTTAAAATTTGATGCTCTATCGAATAGCATATTTAATGAAGTTTCAAAGGTTTTCTAGAAGTTTCTAAGAAATTCTAGAATAAAGTTTTCAAAACTTTTGCTCAAACCCGGATTTTGACTATGACCCACCGTTTTCTTTGCACTTTCAAGAACACTGAACAATAGCTCTTGAAAAGTTATGTCTAGTGACAAGGTTTCGAGGTGGTTCAAGTTCAAGCCCACGTCCTTTAAATTTAGAAATCGAGTTTAGAGAATTTCGAAAACTTCCTTTCTCATAATTCAGAGAATTTAATTCTGAACAACTTTTGCATTCCCGGAATGGTTTATACATAGAAAAAGGCAGAATTGAAAGAACTACACAGTGACCTATAACACATTGTTTCAAAAAATTGTCGTGATGAATATACTGGACAAATACTTGCAGACGTGCGCGATTACAATTACAAAATGTAAAGTTCAAACATTGCTAGTATCGGTAGAATTAAGAATTCTAGAATTCTGAACTTTACTTGTTCAGAATTCTAAAATTCTTACTTCTAGGGGTGAGTGTGGGGGTGAGCGTGAATGTGCAACTTTACATGTATGTAAAGTTCATAATTCTAGAATTCTGAATTCTACCGATACTAGCATGTAATTGTAATTGTAATCGCGCAGTCCTCAGTTTTTATATAGAAAAACACAGAATTCAGAGGGCGGTCGAATGAGTTATAATGCATTCTTTGAAATCGTAGGTTTATTAGGCTGAAGGATAAAAAAACGAAAGACATATTTTTCTTGCTTTCTGATTAATTTTGCTCATTTTGGTGAGAAAGGGCCTTTCTCAAATTGAATGCTGTTTGATGAAACAGTGTGGTAGAAAAGTTCAGAGACGCCTTAATTTGTTCAAGAGTGTCCCAGAAACTGTAATGGCGTCTTTATTTGTCACGAACCAGACTGGATACTCTTTGAGCCTAGCAAATCTTGTTTCATATTTGTTATAGCTATTATCTTCGAGGAGAAAAACAGAAAATACATCTGATTTAATATTTTTGAGAGCTACTGTAAACAAAAGTCGCGACAGTCATATACTATTCAGGATAACTGCTCGACAGTATACTTTCTAAAAAATCTGATGTACTTCAATTTGAAATTACTGCATCCGTTCACTATCTTGCCCATGAGCCTAACAAACTTACGATTTCAAGAATGCATTATAACTCGTTCGACAGCTCTCTGAATTCTGTTTTTCTATATACAAACTATGCCTAATCTCTGTTTGTAGAAGAAACTAAAGGTCATTTTTGTCTGCCACTACGGGTAAAATTGAGATACTAGTCAAGTATTTGTCCAGCACATTCATACACTGTGTAGTTCTTTCAATTCTGCCTTTTTCTATGTATAAACCATTCCGAGTCTGAGCGCACTGACAAAACTATATCCATCAACTTTAAAGGAAACTAATCAATGAGCGTTACATATACGGGTATCAAATAGTCATAGATAATGTTTGACCAATAACTCTATGACATCAGTTTGAAAAGATGTGCTGAAGCCCGTTTAATTACGCTGTTTAATCAAGACAAAAATGAATAAATACGATCGAACAAACTTTTTGGACAGATGCGCAGAAATGTTTCAAAATTTCAGCATATGTTAGTCTAATAAAATATTAAAAACCAAATAACGAACGGTTCATGATCAGTTCCAGTCGTTATCTTCTCAAAAATACATAGAACCATTTTCGTACAGAAACCGTCTGCTGTCTTTTATAAGTGGATTAACCCGTCAACCGACGTTTGAG